TCAAACGTCATTTCTCCAAGCTAAAGAGCCCTAACCTCTTTAACCTTTCTTCATAGAGAAGGTGGTCCATCCCCTTAATCATTTTAGTTGCCCTTTTTCTGCAGCTTTTCCAATACTACCTTTTTTGAGGTGCGGTGACCAGCTATAGATTTATACAGGGGCATTATGATACTGGCTGATTTGTTTTCAGTCCCCTTCCTAATAATCCCCAGCATAGCATTTGCCTTTTTCGTTGCAGTCGGACAATGAGTCAACATTTTCAGTGAGTTATCGACCACAATTCCAAGATTTCTCTCCTGGTCAGCTAACGCCAGTTTGCACCCTATCAGCGTATAATGTTTTAATGGTGATTTTATTTTGTATGTTATAATTTGTTAGCCGCCTTATTGGCCCCTGTGAGGGCATAAAGGTGGGATGTAAAATCTATAAATGAATGAACGAATGATTTCGGCCCAATCCATACTTTAATAATTGAATAGCGAGGTAGACGTGGTGTGATTACTTCCTATACTGGTCTGGCAATGTTTGAAAGCAACTGATAATGTTCGGCCTCTATTATAAACAGTTACAGATGAACTTGAGCAGAGTAGTCACTTTGTAGGCCTCCTACTACCCCCCCCTTCCTTCCCATTCCTTTCCTTGTCTGGCTTGATTGGTGTTCCTCCTGAGTTATCCACTGTCTCCAATTGCATTCAAGGTTGTTGAGGAGGCTGGGTACAAAACAACTCCCCACCCCGCTTTCCGGTTCTGAAACTGCAGTTTTGTTCTTCTCTCCCCTCCCTTAAACTCATCGTCATGCTGGTAATTGACATCTTTCACTCTCTACTTGGATTGCCTGGAGGTCAGATGAACATGAAAATTAATCATTTCTCAACTAGATTTTCTAATGCTTCCAAAGATTTACTTTCTGAACTGAATGTGGGGGAGGTAGTGGTCTGTTGAAACAAAAAACAAAAAACAAAAACAAAATAAGGGTCCTTGGATTGCTACAGTGTGGGAACCGTTCATTTAGGTGACAAGACAGTTTTCAGAAGAAAACAACAAAAAATGAAATTATCTCAAAACTAAATACAACTGAAGCTTCCTCCTGAACAAGATTTCAAGATGACCGGTAAATTCACTTCCGTGGAAAACCTTTGATGTTACTGGAGTGTTTCTGGACGATATCTGATAGAGGCACCCTCTCCCTCATGTATATATAATAACACAGCTGTATGGAAGCCACTTCCCCATCACGGAGTTCAACATAGCTACAGGCACCTGGCCAAGAGAGAGGGATCATGGGGGAAAGAAGCATGTGATAGGCCGTGCCCAAATGGTTTCACCATTCACATACAGTTGATAACCGCATAAGAAAACAGCCCCTGCAATGTTACAACTATACTCGAAGAAGCACAGAAGCTAGTCCAAATGTACAGAAACTGCATAATTGAAACAAAGCAATTCTTTTTGTATCCACAGGAGACTAAAACCAAGAGACTAAGGTAACGTTCTGATAGCACTCTTTCCAGCTTGTGTCACATCTGGAATGGGGTGTAGGAAAGCAGCAGCAAAATGCTTGAAGATGTAAATCGTCCAGTGTCCCAGACATCAGGCAAACGCTTCCGGGATTCCCCCCCCCCAAAAAAAATGTTGGTCCAACAGATGTGTGTATCGGTCTCAGAGCTATCAGGATATATTCATCACAGATGCTGACCACTGCAGTTATCTTCCACCCACCCACATACTTCCAAGATTTAAAAACATGAATAAAGAATCATAACATCAGAATCAGCCATGAGATCAGGTAGGCCTTACACCTAGCAGACACACATTAGCACATGCTAACCTGTATTACCGATACTCTGAGTAATCACTTTTGAAAACATTTTGCACATAGGGACAATGTACCAAAATGCTGCTTCTTGTATAGGAAGAAGCTACCTGCTCATAACTTAGTCAACAAAGAGTACATTCCTACACAGAGTTACTCCATTCTACGCTCACTGACTTAAGTGGACTTAGAGTAACTCTGCACAGGATTGCACTGTTAGTCTCCACTGGGATTAATTCCCAGGAGTCTTTTATTCTAAATAAGAAAACAAATAGTCCA